CCGCAGGGTAGGTTAAAGCACCATTATGACTCAGCACCGCTCCCCCCTCAGCAGCTCCTCCGGCACAAGGGCACTGGCAAGTGAGCTTCCAAGGGACAAATCACTTGGCACAAACAGTCCCCGGGAAGGGAGGCACCGGGAGGAAAGATTCCCAGGACACCAGACTATTCGAGTGGCATCTCCGTGGGGTCCTGCGTGCCCCTCTCCAGCCAGCCCGGGCTCCCCGGGGTGAGGGCACACAGCCCTTGTCTAGTCTGAACTGGGGCCCCCGTCCCCCACGAGAGCATGCGCACAGCTTCTGTCCCCTCTGCCTGTCCCTCCCCAACCACCCGGTCACAATGCCGGGAAGAGGGGTGCCACCTGGGCAAAGGGGCTCGCACCTGCCGCCCATGAGCCCTTGGACAGAGCCTAAACAGGAGAGACCAGGCAGGAGACTGACTGCAGGCAGCCTGTAGGCTTCCAGAAAAGTGGGTGCAGGAGCAATCCGCATTTATTAAACACCATCTGTATGCCAGGCGGCTGTGTGACATTTACCCTTAACATTCATTCTCTTAGTTAATCCTCCAAAAAGAAATTGAGTCGATACCACCTGTACTTACAATTAAATTCGTGTAACAAAGGGAGTCTGCAGGAAAAGAGTCTGTCCCCAAGTGGGGAAGGAAGGGGCGATGATCACCTGTCAGAGGTAGGAACGAATACCCTCCTTCCACAGGGGAGGAGCCTGAGGCTCAGAGAGGTCCCACTGTTCCTCCAAGATCACACGGTGCCAAGGCGGGTACCCACCTTTCTTCCACTTTGTCACCCAGCCTCCCAGGTAGGGGAGAAAAGTCAAGCCCACCATGAATCACAACACACAGACCAGTTGTGCCCAGAGGTAACATCGGGGAAAGCAAGCCTGGCACACAGAAAGAGGAAGGATCACTTCTGGCTGGGGTGGGGGACCACTGCGGAAGGAGGGGGGCAATGACCCCGGGCAGACGGAATAGACGGAAGCAGGTTCTGACCTCTGCAACCGGGAACAGGTCAAGCCAACCTTGAGTCTGGCTAGAGGCCTGGACGGAAGGCAGCCAGGGGCCATGAGGAACTCGGGGTGCTGGGGCTGAGCTAGCAAGAGGGCGAGGGCGCGTGAACAAGGGGCTGGCCGAGGATGACACGAGCTACATGTCCCCACCGCAGGGTTGGAGACCCCACCGGGGTCGGGAGCAGGGAGGACTGACTGGGTTCTTGGGCGGGTGGAGTGAGCTCTTACCACCACGTGAGCTCTGAGTGCAATGCTGAGCAGCAGCAGAGGGTGCGTTCAGAAAGCGGCCCAGAGAGGAGCGGAGTGCTGGCGTGAGGGGCTCAGTGGACAAACTCACAGGGGGCTCTGTGAGAAGGCGGCCTGGGACTGAGCAGCTGGGCAGTGCCTGGATCTGGGAGAGGGAAGACCAAGAAGTGAGGGGAGACTCCTCAGAGTCCTTTAGGAAAAGCTAGGAAGGCCAGGACGACAGATAGCATTTCCCACGGGCTCCGGCGAGTGGAAACCCACCCATCGCACTTAGATGACCGTGCACACCATGGTCTGGGCCATGGATGGGGTGGACACTGACAGACAGGATGCTTCTGCTGTAAGGTGATGAGAACATGTCCGGGGTGACAGAAAGGAGAGGTCGGCAAAAGCAGTCGACTTTTATGAAATGCCACCTGTGTGTCAGGCATCGCGTGCGCATGCCTTTAGCACGCATTCTCTCACCTAGTCCTGACAAGAAGATGTCTGGTGAGCTAGTCATACCAGCATTTGCACATGCCAAACTGCGGTGGGGAAGACAAAGCTGCCCACGTTGCCGACAGGGCAGGAACCCCAACTCCGTCTTATCTCCGAAGCCCATGCCCTTTCCCTAGATGCTAAACTGCCCGCTGAGACGGTGAGGGACACCCTGCAAAATGGGCCCAGCCTCACAAAGATGGCGAGGATGGCTGTGTTGCATTCTGTGGTCCTCGGGCCATTGTGAGTGGCAACCACACAAAGCCGCCTGCCGGGATCGGACGCCTGAGACCACCCGGAGAAGGAACAAGAAAGGCCGGCAGGTGGACACATGCATGCAAAGCAAGAGCAAGTGGGATCACCTCTTTCTGGTGTGCCTGACAGCACGCGCAGTCAGACACACGGCGTCAGCCACGTCTGCCCGCACTGCCCGGTGGAACTGATCACACCCTTCCAATCCTGCTGCCATCGCCATCCTCCTCCTCCTCCTTTTCCGAACGATTCCACCACCACCATCTGAAACTCACCGACCCCCTCAGCTTCTCACCGAAACGTTCGTTCGCGCCGCCGGCTCCAATCTGACCTCACGTAAGAGGATTCTTTAAAAGGGGCACCATGCTCCTAGAAAGTGGGCTTGCCAAACTGCAACTCAGTTCGTACAAGATGTCAGGGGGTAGTTGGGGTGCAAAGTATATAACTTAGTTCCGGGTAATAGTTGTGGGGTTTCATCCTGCCTCAAAGGTTCTCGAAAGTCTGGGATCCACTGAGCACTTGACATTCAGTTCCCAGCTGTTGTCCTTTTGATCAGGATTCTAGAAGGTGATCTTCTTCTATCTGAGAAAAAAGACACACACACACACACACACACACACACACACGGCTGAAAGGCAAGGAGTCTGAAGGGAACAGTGGCCCTGGCAAGTGGATGGTGAAGCCTTAGCAGCTCCTCGGCCTTGCAGCAGCAGCGGCAGCACACCGGCCATGTTCTTCCCTCCACTGAGGTCTGCTGGGAAGGCTGGAGGGCAGGCACCTCTCCCCTTTCCACGCCTCCTGGGGCAAAACAGCTTTGCTTGCATCTTCCAGTCAAAACATGAGCGAAAATATCAGCAGCCAACCCCACTAGAATCGGATAAAATTAACTTGCAAAAAGGAAAAAAACCCAGCATGCTATAACTAGCTTTGTGTTCCAACCTTTCTATATCTATTTAATTAAAGGCTCCCGTGTAATGTGAACCCAATAGTCAGATTCATTAGACAGCGAGAACCTAATTCTACCACTGCTCTGCTAATGAAACTGCAGACGACGTTGGAAGGTAGACGACACAGGGCACTGGGTGCCCACGCTGCCCTGGGAAACTCAGGAGCATGAGGGTAGGGGTGCTCCGTGACCCTGGAGGGAGCAGCCCCGTTGAACACTTCTTTCACAGGCCAGGTGGGCCAAGGCCCTGGCCAGCACAGTCAGTTCTGAGTTGGGGGCTGGAGGCGACAGAAGGCTCCCAGACGGGGCCCATCAGGGCATCATCACCTACCTGAATGAGCCAGTAAATGCATTCTCAGTCGCAAGCTATCCAGGAAGCGCTTCCCACAGAGCTCACACCCGTATGTCTTCATCCCACTGTGCAGCTTCCTGCGGGAGAAAGGAAAGGAGAGGTTGCTGCTGCTCTGGCCACACAGGAGGAAGACTCAAGCCCTGCCCGGGCTGAGGCCAACTCTCAGAAGGGAGAGGGAGCACAGGGTGCTGGAGATGGGCACCGATGGAGACCTATCCTCGGGTCCTCGAAAGCCTCACTGTCCCCTTCCCCATGGACATGAAGAGGCCGCCCGCCCGTTGCTGGTCTGCTTCCAGGAGGCACATCCTCCTGCCATCCCTACTGTGGCACAGGCCAGACCACAGCCAACCAGAGCAGTAGACCGTTGGTCGGAACCACCCAGGGGCACTCCAGAAGGCTGGCCTGGCAGTCTGCCCCACGAGGCCATCACCAATGGATCGATTCTGCTCTGCATGTGAGGGGTTGCCATCATGAGTCAGAGGTGACTCTACTGGACTAACAACAACAGCATGTGAGCCGAAATCGGGGTCAAAGAGCCAATACCCCCCAAGAATCTGCAGACGCATGTGCTCACGGCCGAGCGAGCACAGAAGATGTTGTAAGACAGGCTTACCTTGGTCCCAGCACTACCCTTACTGTGCTGAGTGTTCTTATGACCTTCCCCCCCCACACACCCACACACTAGATGATTAGGCTCAGGAAGACCGCTCCTCTGTTTTCTCTCATATCCCCAGAGCCACTACAGAGACGAGCACTCGTGGGGTGCTAAGAAGCTTCTCCACGAACAGATGTATTTATGGACACAAGTCACTCTTCCTGCCATTTCTTTGAACTGCCAAGATTCTCCAGCACTACCCTTCCCCACATGCTCCAGCGTGGCAAGGGTCTTGATGTCTCTCGCCGGGGGTTCAGCCCTGCCGTGAGGATGGATTGGAAGGAAGTGGGTAACATCCTTCTCCAAGTCAAGGATGGCAGCCACCGCACTGACTTTGCCCATTCCTCCCAGCGCCTTGTTCCGCTTCACCATGCCCGCAGTTCTGTGAGCTGGGCTGAGCACCGTATCATCCCTGAGCGGGAGGAGAGCTGCCATCAACTGCTCACCCGCCCGGCCTGCAAGACGACTTGGATCCTGACTCCCAAGCAAGACCTCTTCCACCAGACACCCTGCTCAGCCACGAGTCAGCAATGGGAGTCCCTCAGATGCCAGGAAGCATGCATACAAGGCGGGCGGTGAGCACTGGGAAGAGGGCCTGGGTGCGCCGGCTGGAGTGTGGGCTGTCTGGCCAAGAACACTGCCTGTCCTCCCCCAACCCCCAACTCCTGTTCTCAGGGAGTTCTTATGAGCTATCGCAGGGAGGGAGCCAGCCTCCACCTCCGCCCCAGCCTCTGAGCAGAGCCCCCAGAAACAATGGGGCGGGCAAAGGCAGCCAGAGACAGGATTCCGGCGAGGGTGGAGGGTCAAGCAGGAGAGAAGACAGGCCGTCTCAGAGCAAACCACATCTTGCGATCAGCATGTTGACGTGTTGGGACCATCGTAAAAAGGTCGGAGAACTGGTACTGGTGCGAGATAAAATCGAGGGCAGAGAGATGGGGTGCCATTATCCACTCAAGTTGGGAGTATCCAGACCTAGGCTCAGTGCTAGGGACCAGGAAAAGGAGCCGAGCCACCCACTGAGTGGGTGCCCTCCAGATCCCAACAGGAGAACTCAGCAGGGTGTCAAAATCATGCTGTGCCCCCTGGGGGCTTTCCTGGAGACCATGGTGGCCTGAAGACAGCACACAGTGTCTCCTTGGCTGCCAGCCTCCCAGCAGAGATCACGCCCAAGCCTCCGCACAGAGTCTTTCCCAACCACGCTGTTTTCCTTGTGTTCCTTGGAACCCTGTGCCAGAGACAAGTGATTTCTCAAACACACATACACACACCCTCCTCCACGGCGGTCGTGCACTCCCGTTCCCACCCCCCATCATCTGATGCCTATCCATGACTGATCGATCCAAATTGAGAAATATGAAGTCTTTACTATAAATACATTTCACAACGCTGGGCGCTGGCGCACGTACTAAAAGCTTTTTGGGTGGAGTATATTTTTAAATATGCATCCGACCATGTGAGTGCATATGCCCACTGCGTGCGGGCGCACGTGAGCGCGCACGCGCGCGCGCACACGATAACGGAGTATCCCTACCACTTTCCCAAGCATGACAGATGTTGGCTTTTCCAAAAGGCATTCCCAAGGGCACTAATGGTCCAGCGTGTGACCCACGCACACCCACTCGTGGGCAGGTCTGGAACAGGTCAGTTGTATTTCTATCCCTTTCTCGTGGCGACTTGCTCGCTCCCCAGGATGTCCGGGAGGGAGGCTGTCAGGAGAAGCAGGCGCACAGATGCCGATTCGGATTTGTTTACCAAACAGTTTCTAGTGTGACCAGTCCTCAGATGGCAGGAGTCCTCATTAGTCTAAGCTCCTCCTGTCGGGTTCCCACTTCTCCCCAGGTTTTGGTCTAAAACCTTTTTTTAAAAAAATATAACAGTGGTCTCATACACTACCTGTCCCTGTGTGACTGACTAACTGCACTCAGTATATTGTCCTCCAAATCCGTCCATGTCATGAGCCATGCCCCCTTGTCCTGATGCTGTGACAAGGCGTGGTGAACACAAGAAGAACTAGGCCCAACTCCAGAGATGCATGCCTGTTAAAGTCACCTAGCCCACCAGCCTGAGTGTCTTGTCTTTAGTCATGGTTATCTGACTGGTAGTGAAAGAAACTACCAGAACTTATCACCGATCTTTCCTGGGATCCACTCTGTTGTCTGCGTTTCCCAGGCTTCGCAAACATGAGTTCCCTACCTTGCCCAATCCTCGGGGTCAGGAACACTGCCCTACAACTGACTCACTAATGCAACACCGGGACAGGCGGCCAGAGACGAGCATGAAGTCCACGAGATCCCACAGGTAGTAAAGGGCAAAGGCCCTGCCGCCCTGGCAGAGGAGCCTGCGCCAGCACCCAAAGTTCAACAGGGAAAAGGCGACAACACGCCTGGGGGTCGGGCAGAGCCAGGGCTGGTTTACCCTCGTCGTTAAAGACTGTGCAGGTGCCCACGGAGAAGGCCCTGAGTACGGTCAAGGGAGCTGGCTGCCTGCAGGCTCTCTGAGGCACAGCCTGTAGAACGGCTTTTTAAAAATAAAGTTCCAGTACGTCTCTGGAACAAAAGGACAAACTTCTATGAACTCCTGGTCTGTCGCCCCTTAGGCCACAACTGCCTTCCCTCAGCCCCCCTCTTCCAACCCCGGGCAAAGCCATTCCTCAGAATGGAAATCGGCCGGCTTCCTTGCTCGTGACCACACCCATCCACATCTTCCCGGTCCGGTCCTCTTTTCACAAGGCAGAACTGCCCTGGCCATCGAGGCCTCGGCCTCCACTGTGACCCGGGGGAGGATGACAGCTGGTAGTACGTTCACGGCTTCCTGCAGACTCCTGGGGCCAGCCGTAGTTTTCACACTCTTTCCTCCCAAAGAGGCCGTGCTGGACACCACTGTGAAAGTTCTAGCATGCCCCTGCACCTCTGTCCACAACTCAGGCGAGTCTCCACCCGCTTCCCCCAGATGGTTCCTGTCCCAACCACCCATTCTTGGGGATCAGACTCGAGTTCTCCACCATCTCCAGGGGTGAACGACCGACAGATCACACCTGACGCGGTTTGTCAACTCGTGTCGGGTGTAACAAACTTTCACTACTGTTCAAAAAGACATAAGCAAAAAATGAACTAAGAGGTTTCTATCTGTCTTCTTAAGGGAATAGAATCATCACAAGACATTAAAACTAAGCTCATCTGACCACTTTTTCAAGTAAAGGGAGATGGAGACCTATTCCCTTGCACCCCGATTCTCAACCATGCAACTCTTATTAGTTAAATCAAGCTGGCAGTTAAATCAAGCTCGTCAGACCATGTTGGTGCCATTCTGGATCGGTTCAAAGCTGTGTCGATATTTCCTTTTTTCGTAGAGCCTCGTTTACAAGGATTACCCAATGCTACTGAAGAAATACCCTTCTCAAAGTGGGATGTCCATCATCCCATCCATTGGTGTCCTATCGCAGTGACTTGCATGTTGCTAGGATGCTGGAGACAATGCCACTAATGTTTCTAGTAGAGGCAGGACCCACCCAAGGGCGGGCAGATTTCGGCAGAGCTTCTAGACCAAGGCAAGCTAGACAGAAAGGCCTGGGCATCTACTTTGGAAAACCAGTCAATGAAAACCCTACAGATCGATCACAGATTACCGGCTGAGTCTCCACCTCACTTTGGACGCAGGTGGAAGGGCTGTCCCTGGAGAGGAACTCAAGTGTGGTCAGTGGAGGGCCAGTGAAGGAGAGGGACGTTCTGACACAGTGGCGGCACAATGGACCGGAGGGCACCAATGACGTGAAGCTGGGGCAGGCCCTGGCCTCGTTTGACTCTGTTATCCGTGTGGTTACCACGAGCTGGCGGCAACTCGACAGCAACGAAGGTGTGTGTGGGCGTGGGGTGCAGGCGGTCCCCCGTCCAGACAATGACTCCCAGTTCAGCAGCTTCCTGGGCTCAGCACCCGGACTCTGTCCTGACGGCTCCTAAGGACCATCCGCGAAGTGCTCGTGAAGGTGTCGTGGCAATAGGAAGCCTGAGCTCCAGACCACCCTCGGGATAAGGCTTCACCCCCTAGCCCACTTAGGACAGCAACAGCAAAGGGAATGGCTGCACGGGCAGACTCCGCCAGACGGAGTCCTCAGCCTCCTGATACAGCCGACCCCACTGCCGCTTCCTGTGGCGGGGTGGCCAGACCACATGGACTCTGCTGAGGAGCAGCTCCGCCCAATCCTATCCCAGGCAGCTGAGCCCTTGCGGAGGAGAGTCTGGCTAGGGGGCGGGCTGAGTGAAGCATCAGAGCCCACGGGGAAAAGCTGGCCCTGCTGCTAGTCTGAGAGACGGGGGCTGAAGGCTTGGCATTTCTTCCCACGTCCCTACACCCCGAGACCAGGGGCACAGATGGAACAGATCATGAGGAAGCTTTAGAAAGAGGACATAGTTGTAGTAACTAAAG